CAGGCCCGCTGACTTGGTTTGAAATAAGATTGCGTGTATCCGTAACTCACTTTGGGGGGCACGGGTGGCCCAGTCGTCTAAGGCGCCGCGATTCGCTGTGCAGAGTTGCGTCCCTTGGTTGCGCCAGGAACCTATGATTGTGGGTTCGAATCCCGGTTCGCCCCGATAATGTTTCTAGGTTTAACCATTTATACTTAAAATCATTTCTCGAAAAACATCGTATTTTTATTTCTTTGAAAATACATTTTTGAATAAAAACACAAAATACAAGCTGTGATAGAAATAGTCCAGAATCTGTTTTTCGTAGAGAGGAACATCTGTCACAAAACATTAATGTCCAAAACAGATTGATATCAAAAAGCCTCCGGACAAAAGTGAGTGAGTGAGTTTGGTTTTACGCCGCTTTTAGCAATATTTGGCCATTATGTGATATCCGTGAAGAATAGTTGGCGAATGATCAAAAGCCGCTCAAGTAGACTGCTTGTTCGCTCAACTACAGCACAGCTATTGCAATTGACACACAATTGAGTGACAGGTCGCGCTGCAGCAGGTGCTTGTAGACAGTAAACAAGTCGATTCGATGCGCAGCGAATATTTACATATACAGTTTATGTCTTATACAAATACTTCTGCGCAAATCTCAACGTTTACCAAGGACTTGAGTGGTAATCAAGTTTATACTGGATTTCCTGCAGACATGATTAAACTGTTTATGGATGTGTGTGGGATTTCAATAATTTGACCGTTTATATCTCAATTTAACAACCTTCTTGAATTTCCTCTTCATATTCCTTAGGAAGATACATCTAGGGTAATCAATATAGCTGGAGGGTACGTGTTCAGGTTTTATTTCATAATATGACGAATCGTATTTTAAAACCCTGATATGATGGATTATATATTTGAAACACAAAAATCGTAGACGAGGGATTTAATGTTGCTTAGTTTGAAACAGTTGTATGTAAATAGTTTTAGACATATTGATTCTGGATTAATAATGGTCCTCAGGAACCTATGCTTGTCCTTGCGAGTGGCGAATACATGGATCGGGGTGTTCGGTTTGGAGACTTGGTTTGAGGTGAGGTGAAATGGGGTTTAACGTCGCGTCCAAGATTATTGCACCTATATAGCGACGTGCATGTACGTGTGTGTGTGTGTGTGGCTGCTTGTACTAGTCAGGACTGATGCCGATTTATAGTGCTAGCTCACTGAGATACCATGCCGCAGTTTAACATGAATACCCCACTCAAACACAGTATACTGACTCCGAGCCGACCAGTCCTTGCTTTAGCCCCTGAATGCCGAGCGCCAGACAGGGTAACAACAAGTACCATCTTTTAACGTCTTTTGCTATGACGCAGACTTTGATCACGTGTCATCGTATCCCAATGACCTGTCATCGTTGCTCATCAGTCACCGGTTTGTTTGGTCCAGACTCGATTATTTACATGCATCAGTCATACAGTTTGAGGTTCGGTCGGGTAGCCTTGTGGTTAAAGCGTTCGCTCGTCAAGCCGAAGACCCGGGTTCGATTTCCGACCTGGGTACAAAGTGTGAAGCCGATTTCTGGGCAAGCCTCGGAGCTTATCCACTTTTATCAACTTATCAATATATTTGACATCAAAAGATACTCGTGTGAGATTCGCTATGTCTATCGTACATTTTCCCTTATTCTGATCAAACAATGTTTGAGCAAGAGTCGTATGACGCTTTTTGAAGACTTCGTAGAAAAAGTATACTCGAAATGTAGACACAGCCGATTGGAGCTGCTGGAATATTGCTAAAAGCGGCGTAAAACCATACTCACTCACTCATACAGCTTGGATATTGGTGAGTGTGGCATTATACAACGAACAAAAAAGTAATATATACGAGTAAAAGTGATGATTTTATTCGTCCTAGTCAGACTTCATCATATCAGTACTCCGACTTATCGGAAGTAAACTATAATAATGTATTTTTACTTACGTAATGTAGATACGCATGTCGCAAACTAAAAATTGTGTATTATTAAATAGTCTGTATTAGATAAACATCTAAGGTAATACTGCAACCAGTGAAGATCTGGGTTAGAATAGGTCTTCAGCTACCCATGCTTGTCGTAAAAGGTGGTCATGTTCGTTGACTTGGTTGATGCATGTCATCGTATCCCAATTGCGTGGATCGGTGTTCATGATATCAACCACTTGATTGTCTACTCCAGACTCCATTATTTACATACCCTACGTCATTTAGTTGGAATATTGCTGAGTGCGGCGTTAAACAACAAGCAAACTCTACTACTACTCTACCCCGGATACACGATACTAAAATGAGTATCGGGTGGTTAAAATGTCTTGCCTTGCTGACTGATTATCATAGTAACCTGGTGGTTGCGTTTCATGCCTATGCGACTGGTTTGCCTGTGCCAGATTCGATCACTGAAAGGCCGCCGTCATGTACCTATAATAATGCTGACTGCGGCATTAAAACAACATTCACTCACTCAATTATATCACTACTATGCATGTCATCCAAGCCACAAGGCATTGTTTCTATCATCCTCCTCATCCTCATCATCATCGTCGTCGTCGTCAATAATAATAATAATATAATAATAATAATAATAATAATAATGATGATGATGATGATGATGATGATGATAATAATAGTAGTATGATTATTATACAATTACGTAAATAAATATACAAAACCTGTCTTGCGTACATGTACGTCTGAAAGCAGTGAATAGTGAATGTAAATGTCAATATTATTTATTGTTTCAATGTATTTACTGTTAATTCCAGTATGAAACATTTTGTCAAATAATCATGGGATCAATGCATCTTCAAACGTTTGATCAATAACAGCTCTCACCAACATGGTCATTTGTCAATAAAGTATGGAACCCTGTTGGGGTTATCAGCAGAAGTTATGGCTGTCGTTCAATTAGCCTGTAGTACTAACCTACGGTGGTCAATAAACCAGACGAATCACTCACGCGGCCGTCAAAAGAACCAGTTCATTAGAGGGGAAACTCGATCAGTCAACACCAAGGCGCACAATCAATAATGTTGACAGTCTGAATGCTCTCAGTGATGTTTACATTCGGGAAACATCGGATGTTTCCGTGAGGATTAGACAATCTGTGGACTTGGCAGGAAGGTGCATGTTCTTGAATTAATCACCTGATATCCATCAAAGTGCACCAAAGCAGGGTTTTATTAGGTTGAACGCTGTAATTTAAAAGGTTTGGCTGTTGAGGTTTGATTTCGTGAATAAAATGTAATTATTGGATATCTTTAGAGCAGGTTGTTACCCCCTTTGAACGTAATAGGGGGAGTAAAGAAGCGAGGTTCGGAAGCTCACCTTAGCGAAATAAGGTTAACGTTTGAGTGGACACAGCGTTTACTGTTCAGATCGCATTTAGATAGGCACGAATTGCGGTACTTTGGGCAGCCGAGTCTTTAGCTGCTTGTTAACCATGAAGGAGAGAGCGTGAGAGAGAATGGGGAGGAGGAGGGGGGGGGGGGGGGGGGGGGGGGGGTGTTGAGAGAGGGAACGGAGAGAGAGAGAGATGACAAATGAACGGAGAGAGAGAGAGAGAGAGAGAGAGATATGACAAATGAACGGAGAGAGAGAGAGATGACAAATGAACGGAGAGAGAGAGAGAGAGAGAGATGACAAATGAACGGAGAGAGAGAGAGAGAGAGAGATATGACACATGAACGGAGAGAGAAACAACGAGATATTGACAAATAAACGGAGAGAGACAGCGAGAAATGACAAATAAACGAAAAGAGAGACAGTGAGATATGACAAATCAAATGAACGGAGAGAGAAACAACGAGATATTGACAAATAAACGAAGTGAGAGAGAGAGAGAGAGAGAGAGAGAGAGAGAGAGAGACAGACAGACAGACAGACAGTGTGTGTGGTCAAATTAATTTAACAGTTCAACATTTGTCATTATGCCCAAGCAGAAAAAAACACTTTGGGCCAATGGCAATGCCACACATGCTAGAACTCGAAACACACCATCTCTGAAAACGCTGTATCCTATAATGAATAAAGCACTCCGATCACGCACGGCGTTCTAATTACACGAATCGTTACACCGTATACCCAAGATGTGCTGAGAAAATCGTCAACTCAAAATGAACATGATGTCATTTCCGTACTTCCCTTAATTCAGGTTTGATTGTCTCGGGGTCGTTACACCATGTGTGGTGGTTAGCTGACTGGCTGTGTTGCTTCTACAAGAAAGTACAGATACACTTCAAGTTTTGAAAAACAAACACAAATTTACATGGCAGCCGCATGGTTGGTGAATCATTTTATTTTAATAAGAACTTTACGAACATCCCTGATGAGGGAGACTTGGCGTGATTCACGTGTGTGGCGTGCTGGTCAAAGGGGGGTAATCTAGCGTACATAGCGTAAAATGGAATGGCGTGGTGGTGTAAGGGAGGTAACTCCGTAGTGCCAATCCGGATCCCTCAATCGAGCCCACATTTAGCTCATTCTGTTGTTCGTTTCCATGAGAAGTCGAGTGAAAATATATTTCGCTTTTAAATACAGAAGACCTACTGTTCGGTTGCCCACCCACGAAGTGAATACCAATAGGTCAGGCTCATAAAATACAATGAGGACAAGGTGAAGTCAGCCTGTCCCGTTGAAGATTAATGCACGTTTGTGTTTGTGTTTGAGTTTGGCTACTTGCACTAGTCCTGGCTAAGACCGGTTTTATAGTACTAGCCCGCAACCGCAACATACCGCACTTTAACATGGATGAGTCCTTGTTTCATACCCTCAATGTAGAACGCCGGGCAGGATAACAAGTGCCATCTTTTAACGTATTTTTAGTATGGAGCGGCCAGGGATCAAGACTGAAGACTGAAGCTTTATACACAACACTAAGGAGGCTGTTTTAAAATACAATAAAGTCACTGACAAAATATATCATATAATATTCAAGGAATTTTCAATTATGAAACACTGAAAAAGGTGAAGGACATGGGCAGTGACAAATATATTTATTGCCTCACACAGCAAACATAACCCACTACAATAACTGGTCCACAATTGCCCGCCAGTCTTCCAATGCAAGGGACTCCGGGCGACTCACCTGGACAAGTACACGGTTGACAAGTACCATGGGCGTGGAATGGATGCCGCCTGGAGATGAAAGCACCATCAGGTTGCACAATCAAATAATATTATATATAAAATAAATACAGTTCCTTACTTCAGATTTTAAGAGCGCTTCCACTAAACTGATTTTGCATTCAAGAAACGGGTGGCCCAGTTGTCTAAGGCGCCGCGATTCGCTGTGCAGAGTAGCGTCCCTTGGGCACGCCGGAAACCTATGATTGTGAGTTCGAATCCCGGTTCGCCCCGATTATGTTTCTAGGTTTGTCAGCACCATACCCGTGCTCGAGGGTTTCACTGATGTGGTAAATGTCTGAGGCCTGCATCACTGCGGGCTTTCCTCCCACATTAAGCAGACACGCCGTGATATAACTGTAATAGTGTTAAAAGCGGCGTTAAACCAAACTCACTCACTCAATATTACTTAAACACACCGTCATATATAACAGCTTGAGTATTGATGGCTGCGATACTAAACAAACTATCATTGACTGACACCTTTTCATCCAGATTCTCACTCACTCACTCACTCACTAAATCACTCAATTAAACTCATTTCCCATGCAAATCAGATACCCTCGTATTTTTTACACCAACACAAAGTGAGTTAAAAATTTAACGCGGCATCGGCATTATTTCGGCCATCTAGCGACTCCAACACAAAGCACTTCAATAATCATCGATACTCCTCATATGGACTGTGCTGTATACTAAATCTAGAAATACTAAGTTCTTATTTGTCGTCTTTGGCATCTTGGTATTCTGCGTGACGAGCAGATTATAGTGTTCGATCGCCGGGGCGGTCAGGTAGCCGAAGATCCGGGTTCGATTCCCGACATGGGTACAATGTGTGAAGCCCATTTCTGGTGTCCTCCGCCATGATTTTGCTGGAATATTGCTAAACGCGGCGTAAAACCATACTCACTCACTGTTCGATCGCCACGCAGACGACCAGAAGAAGAAGAGAGTGATTCAAACTTTAACGTCGCTTCGGCAGAATTTCAGCCATATAGCAATGAGCACTATCCGAAAAGAGTAAAAGACAAAAAGAGAACTTGAGGCGCATACATGGCCGCAACATGTGAAGTCTTTGCTTGGTCACCTAAGCCAGGTGATGCTGGATTGTTAAAAAGCCAATGTATACCACTTCAGGTATGTATACACAGGGGCAGGTTCTAGACAAGGCGGGGGTCTGACGCTCTCACTCACTCACTCACTCACCCACTCTATATTCTACTCACCCACTCACTCACCCTCGCACTCACTCATCCTTTCACTCATTCACTCACTCACCCAGTCCCTTATACTCTCTCCCACACTTCGAATCCCCGTTGGTCCTGATTACGTTTCTAGGTTTGTCAGCACAAATCCCGTGCACTTGGGTTTCACCAAAGATACAGATATCTAAGACCTCCTCACTCCTTCTCGCACTCACTCATTCACTCAAGGCACACACATTTTCACATTTTTCAGCTGAGACCTATGTTGGTAACGCCGCACTCAGCAATATTCCAGCTATATGACGGCGGTCTGTAAATAATCGAGTCTGGACCAGACAATCCAGTCATGAGCATCGATCCACACAATTGGGATCGATGACATGCATCAACCAAGCCAGCACTCCTGACCACCCGATCCCGTTAGTCGCCTTTAACGGCAAGCATGGGTTGCTGAAGACCTGTTCTACCCCGGATCGTCACGGGTCTGAGACCTATGTAATAGCCCAACCTGGGTAATTCTGCATGTTATTTACATCCATGTAATATTTTTATTCAGATACCATTATCCTGCAAATATACACTGATGTACATTGTAAATAACCTCAGGGTTGGTATAAGGCTGCTCGTATTTTATCTGAATTTCCAATCCCCCGCCCGCCTTGAATGTTATTCCGACGTGAAACAATAAAAACATTTCCGAATTCAATTTTCCCTGAAATGGGGAACATTATGCCCCGATGTGATAAAAAAAAATACTGTTACCATTGTACACTCGTGAAAAAACCCCAGGTCGGCCTGATCTGTCTTCAGATACGTGTATTAAGAATTTGTTACAGGAGACTGGTAGCAAGTGTTTTAAACTTTAAATTGTCATAAAATGACCCACACAATAAGTGAAAAAACACTTTTAAATTTGTTATTAATTCTTTTATCTTCTTTCGCCCGCCCGCTCTCTTACTGGTTGAGGTTGGAGATGAAAAACATTTTAAAAAATATGGATGGCCTAATCATATGTCATGTTTTGTCATCACGTTTTCGTGCATTTTTTTATATGCATAATCATAATCATGTGGAAAGGGCGTTTTTGTACAAGTCTCGCGGTGCATGAGTACACTCACGTGAAGCACCGTACTTCCACGCAACACGTGCGTCCTTCTCCTGTGTGTTGTACGTCAGCATCAGCTGGGAGAATACCCCCCTCTCCATCCCCATCGAGGATGCTATGTCGGCAAACTTGCTGAAATTAGTTACATATATCGCTAACAGTTCCTTTACATATTATTTAAAGGCATATTCAATAATGTTATACACGCTTTCGTAGAAATAATTGTAAAACCTTTGGAGTTCAAGGAACGCTTGCAGACAAAAACAAATCCGCTACGACGCAAATACAAACATTTATTTATATTAGAAAAAACTGTAGTGTTAAAACTGAATTTCTTTGTTTGTTTGTTTGTTGTTTAACGCCGCACTCAGCAATATTCCAGCTATATGACGGCGGTCTGTAAATAATCGAGTCTGGACCAGACAATCCAGTGATTGACATCATGAGCATCGATCCACACAATTGGGATCGATGACATGCATCAACCAAGTTGGTTGGTTGGTTTGTTGTATAACGCCGCACTCAGCAATATTCCAGCTATATGACGGCGGTCTGGACCAGACAATCCAGTTTGTGACATCATGAGCATCGATCCACGCAATTGGGATCGATGACATGCATCAACCAAGTCAGCGAGTCTGACCACCCGTTCTCGTTCGTCGCCTCTTACGACAAGCATAGTCGCCTTTTACGGCAAGTATGGGTTGCTGAAGGCCTATTCTACCCCGGATCTTCACGGGCAACAAAACAATGTTGACACAGCTGTTAATCTACAACACATGTCCAACCTTCGTGATCACCAGTCTATGAGTGAGTAAGTAGGTTTAACACCTATTTTACCAACATTGCAGCCGTATCACGGTGGTGAGACATTGCACTCTTAGTGGTCATTAAATTGACGTTCGGATTTAACATCGGACCATGACATGAAATTCTATAATAAACGCCCACTAACCTTATGACGTCAGCTGTTGTTTCGTTGATTGTCGCGCTGTTTACAAAGTTGTCTTTCCGCTCAAACACAGCTGAGAACCAGTCAAACGGACTTCGCCCTGTCAGATGCTCAAACACAAATGCGCCCTGTTCGAAAAAGAAAATACGAAAATAATAACAATGATGCACGTAAAATGACTGAGGTTGCGATATCATTGATATTATTTTGTTTGTATCCGTCACTTATTCAGTTTGACAGTTGAAATTTTGAGTTGTTGGTTACACTCATTCAATGTAATGTTTTTGGACTTAAATGATAACATTTCAATACACTATGCAAGTGTTTAATAATTCAATACTATCTGCCCGTTGATTTAGTTTGAAACAGGAAAATATTAAAAATATCTTTTTCACTTCTTCGTGCATTTCTTAAAGGAGGAACGATCACTTTTCCACTAAATGTCTAACATCCAAAATGCACAGAGCGAACTTTCGGGTAAAACACGAGGCGATTTCCAATTTTAAATATTTAAAACAACAAGGAATTACACAGCTCGAGAATCACCTTAAATGTCAGAAATTGACACATTACTGTAAAGTAGCTGATTCTTGTCATATCAACAGATTGACGTGTGTGTGTGTGTGTGTGTGTGTGTGTGTGTGTGTGTGTGTGTGTGTGTATATTTATTTTCGAACACGAAGAATGCATTACTTATATTGTATATCATTCATTCATTTTTTGGGCTTAAATAATAACATTTCAATACACTATGCAAGTTTTATAATTCAATACTATCTGCTCGTTGATTTAGTTTGAAACAGGAAAATATTAAAAATATGTTTTTCACTTCTTCGTGCATTTCTGAAAGGAGGAACGATCACATTTCCACTACATGTTTCAAATCCTCCAGCATGTGCAGACCGAATATAACTTTCGGGTAAAACACGAGGCGATTTCCAATTTTAAATATTTAAAACAACAAGGAAGTACACAGCTCGAGAATCACCTTAAATGTCAGAAACTGACACATTACAGTAAAATTAAACTGATTCTTGTCATATCAACAGAGTGACGGGGGAAAATATATATATTTATTTTGGAACACGGAGAATGCATTACTTATATTGTATATCATTCATTCATCAGTCTTCACAACCGTCATCACATTGACCTCCATCGGCTCCAATAACGTGATCCATGAACAGGCCATGGTTTTCTCCACCACCCAGACTTCCTGGTGGTCAACCTTGTAAAGCTACGTCATCTCTGCCATGGAGTGTGTCATCGCTTACATCCTTACAAAAAGAGAGTTTTTGTCCTCAGGGAAAATAGTGTCTGTTCCGATGACGTCATAGACAATAACAATGAGATGACGTCATAGAATGGTTCCATGACGACGTCTTATTCGTCCAGCCATGCAGTCGCCTTCACGATATCACAGTGAACAGACGTACATTTAGTGCTCATCCGAAACTTCGTTGTTTGATGTTGTTGAGTGTCTTACTTCATCACAAAGATACTTGCCAAAGTCTATAAGGTAAGGGAGATAATTTGCGTTGATTATTTGTAACGATTATCTTAATTGTCTTGTGGGATGGATGTTGTCGGGAGAAACAATAAAGAAAGGTTATCAGCTTCATTATTTCAGCCGAACCTCGTTGTGTCGAACTTGGCTGTGTCGAGTTCACGGTTGTCTCGAACTCACCTTCCGGTCACAGCTAATTCCTACTATATTTATCACCATTTTAACTCGGATCTGTCGAGCTGGATGTGTTAATTTCCGACTATTTCGAACATATTCGGGAGTCCCACGTATCCAAATAAGCACAAAACTCGACACAACGAGGTTAGACTGTATTTCTCTAAAACATTTAATCTGTTTCAGTGTTAAAATTTAAATATCATAGCTTGTGTAGATACATGGCACCAGTCTGTAGTTTCACATTTATATTGTATTCCAGATGGTCGTGTTGCCACAAGAACGGCTGAAACGTCGGCAGCTTCTTTCCCCCATTCTTGAGGCGGGCGAGGGCGAATCTAACCCATCAAACGTGACACGGGCACAAAAGGAATATTTACTTGGTACGCTGCACGTGTATTCTCATAAATTCAACAGGAAATACCCGAAATACTTGATCTGCGTGACGTATTTTCCGCTGTTGTAAAAATCGATAAATGTTTTGTCAATTTTAGATTTAGCACATTGTCAACAAGATGTGATTGAAAGCAAACCGTTTTTACACAACGCAGGCATGCCGTCGAAATATGTATACACTGTTCCTTGTTTGTTTACAGTTCAATATATGGACTTAAAATCCCAAGTCGGAGATTTGGAGGAAAGGTAAGCACAGCTTTCATGTACTTCGTTCTTGATTGTTTTCGACCGCCTCTCGTGTCTACCCGGAGAGCGGGCCAGGGGTTCGATCCCCGCCCCCACCATACAAAAATACGTCAAAAGATGGTACTTGTTGTTACCCTACCTGCGGAGTCAGTATGCAAAGTCTGTGTCGGGTATTTGTCATGTTAAAGACTGCGGCGTGGTATCTCGGACGGTTTCACTATGAATATAAAACCTCAACGCATGAGAGTAACCAGTCTCGATTATCCCACGAAACAGATTCCATTTGGCTAATAGACTAAACAGCTGTGAAAATTATATGAGTGGGTTACTGAAGGTCAGTGATGACACCAGATGGACACAAAAGGGTCAGCACCCGTCATTTGACCAGACTAGTACATGCAGCCTCACGTACGTACGCACGCACGCGCATGCATGTCGCTATAAAAGCGCAATAATCTTGAAAGGGACTTTAACCTAATTTTACCTCACCTCTTTATGATTCTATTCCAGATCAAATCTCGAGCTATTAAGTTTTAGTACATGTACTTTGTTATGCACGTGGATTGGGAATTGTTCGCTCTTGGTTCTGCGGTTGTACACATTCGGAAAGTGCAATAACCCGCTCTGAGACAAAGTAGTTAAACATTATGTTCTAAACGTTAACATATTTCTTCTTCAGCCTTCTTGATCATCTCTTCAATGAGAACAAGAAACTCCTAGAAGAGAATGAGCGACAGAGGCGAGAAGTGAGCCATGAGAGAGAGTTGCGGCTGAAGGCCGAGGCTGAAAGACAACAGTTCCGACTAGACTATTATAACTATAAACTCAGTTTCACAATGGAGCAGGCTGAGCTCCGGGAAGTGAAGAAAACACTGGAGGAGCTGGCGGGAATGTGGGAGACGGAGAAGAAGGCGGAGGAGGAACAGAGGAAGAAGCTGGAGGAAGAGCTGAAGCAGCTGAAGTCACACCATCAGCTTGCTGTGCATGAACTGGCTGCTCTCCAGCGCCACACTGCTCCTCTGACCTGTCAGACTCCCGGCAAGACACAGCCCAGTCTTCCCTCCGTGGCTCCTCCAGTTCAGCCGAAGAAGGCACACAGACCCTACACGGGACGATCTAAGAACAAAGGTCTGAACAATGCCTCATCTGCCAAGTCGGACCTCCTCGCTTCAGGGGACAGCCTGATCAAGGTCAAGGTTACAAAAGAAAACAAGGACATGTCAAAGAACGGTGGCCGACTTATGGCTAAAGATTCAAAGCAGGGTCAAATTCCTGCCAAGACACCAATCCGAACAACCAAGCTTGTTTCTGTTACAAAGCAGACCCGGAAGATGCGTTAATGAATTAAGACTCATAAAATCGTCCGTGTGAGTGTGTGTGTGTGTGTGTGCGTGCATGTGTGCGTGCGTGCGTGCGTGCGTGCGTGCGTGTAGCATTGAAATTCGACATTGTTGTAAACTATGAACTCCTAATTTCAATCAGTAAGAATAATACACTTCACTGCTGAAAAAAGATCCGCTTTTGTTATTTCTGTATGTGTTGGAATGGACGACGGTGGGGTCACCTCGTGGTTAAAGTGTTCGCTCGCAATGCCGACGACCCGGGCTCGATTTTCGAAGTGGGTACAATGTGTAAGCCAATTTCTGGTGTCCCCCGTCGTGATATTTCTGGAATATTGCTAAAAGCGACGTAAAACCAAACTCACTCACCCACTCACTCACTCTAATGACGGCGTTGTCCAAGATAAACTGGTGCTTGTTAACATCTATCGACACCGACACCGTGATATTGCCAGGACACGCATGTACAGTGGAGAGTTGTCTCACCTTTTCAGCTGCTATGGTACCGTTTACTGAATGGGAACCGAATGAATGTTGTTTTACGCCATCAAGCATACAAAAATATCATGGTAGCCTTTAAATAAATTACGCATTCGCGGAACCAGAGGTTCCCTCTTCTGAATCATACTAAAACCATGACGTATAAAAAGACATAACCAAACTATTTGGTGACATGTTTCACACAAATATACAATTAATTGTCCAATTGTCATCCGAATTATGTCCTAGCATTTGACTCGGTTTAAGTATGGGACTTACAACAAGTGCAATGACGATCGCACGTCAGGTGATGGGATTAACGACACTTGTAACGATGATGGTAACTCTGCGTTAAGTTAAAATGTGGGGCTTAAAGTTTAGTGCTGCGATCGTTTAATGGAGCGGGGCCCGGGTGAGAATGTCTCCAAAGCCGGATGACTGTCGTCCGGGGCAACCAATGAGGATCGGATGGTTTCAACGTTAACCTAGCCGGGACTTACAACTTAGTGCTACGATCGTTTAACAGAGCGGTCCCAGGTGAGAATGTGGCCAATGCGGATGATCGTCGTAAGAGGCAACCAATAAGGATGGGATGGTTTCAACGTACAACCTAGCTGATGGTGTGATATTTGTCGGTTGTTTCTCATGGTGGTAGGTGAGGTGAAATGGGGTTTAACGTTGCGTCCAAGATTATTGCACTTATATAGTGACGTGCATGTACGTGTGTGTGTGCGTTTGTGTGGCTGCTTGTACTAGTCCGGACTGATGCCGATTTATAGTGCTGGCTCACTGAGATACCATGCCGCAGTTTAACATGACTACCCCACTCAGACACAGTCTACTGACTCCGAGCCGACCAGTCCTTGTTTTAGTCCCTTAATGCCGAGCGCCAGACAGGGTAACAACAAGTACCATCTTTTAGCGTCTTTTGGTATGACGCGGCCGGGATCAAACCCGGACATTCCGCTCTCCGGGCGGACGCTCTACCACTTGACCACGGAGGTGGTCCTCTCATGGTAGTACTTACCTCGGGTCAATTATCTAAAGCCAATGTAAGCCTGCCATCATTTAAACGATGCTTACCGCCTCGGTGATCAAGTAGATAGAACGTCTGAATGCAGAGCGGAAGGTGGGTGGTTCAATCCCCGGCCGCGTCATACCGAAAGACGTTAACACATGGTACTTGTTGTTACCGTGACTTGCGCCCGGCATTAAAGGGATAAAACAAGGATCGATTGGTCAGCTCGGAGCTCGGAGTCTGCAGAGTGTCTGAGTGGGGTATTCATGTTAAACTTTTAAACCAGCATTAGTCCGAAACTAATGTCATGTTTTAGGACTTCAATAATAACATTGCGATATCATTAGTATCATTGCGATATTAATTTGTTTGTATCCGTCTCTTATTCAGTGTGACAGTTGAAATTTGAGTTGTTGGTTAGAACCAATTTAATGTTATGTTTTTTGGACTTAAATAATAACATTTCAATACACTATGCAAGTTTTATAATTCAATACTTTACCAAGCTGACTGTCGTTCATTTCCCGATGAACATCAGTATGTCACGTGATTACGCTGTCAATCGCGCGGAGACATACAGAACTACTTTAGGGGAATTCCTCAATGTCTAAAAATAACATTAAAATTAATTAGGGAAAACTGAGAGCGACATCGATTTTGGCTATGATTTAGGCTTCGCGCATCATGAAATTTGCACACGTGAGGCACTGTCTTCATCAGCTGATGAACGTCGACAAATACCACTTCAATCCTTAAATAACTGCTTTTCCCCTTTCGGTCAGTAAGCTGATAAGGACACTACTCTAATCACATACAATGGAGATTGTATTAATTAAACCAGACATGTTGTCAATTAGACAAACTGTCAAAGATACGTTAACCGAGTTCTCTCGGATATATTTCCACAAGTATTTTCAACAATGGGCTAATGTTTCACGCCTATCAGTGTGAATGAATGGCGAGGTCAGTGCACGTCCACCTGCTGCTAATTATATCTGCAAAACTGTACAACAACACGGGCATTCTTAAAGGAACATTCCCACCGGGGCAAATAAGATTATTCATTTCTTATTCAAGTTAACTTTCACAAGGAAAAATGTTTTCTATAAAAAATTCAGGGGGGCTACTTCTCATATATGTATATAATACAAATTCTTAGATGAAAAAAAAGGTGAATTATCAATCCACAAACAGTCTAAGCATAATTCCTAGCAAAATATTAGTATAATATCTGAACAAAATTCTTAGTATAACATAATTGGAACCCATTGCATCTCGGGATATACAATTCGGACTAAGAATTTCTTATCACATATCAAGTGACGTTTTGGATATTCGCTTATTTATAATTAGCAACGAAACCCTTTAGCGATTGCTAAATATAGTAACATCGTTAGCTGTCTGATAGCCGAGTGTGGCTGTGTAATGGTGTCTTGTGGAATTGAGACAATACACTATCTCGGGTCAATGGTCCTTTGCTTATTGTATGGTATCAAACATTTATTTAAAGTATCACCACATTTGGTAACGTTAGTTTAACCATATTTTATTAACATGCAAACGATTGTGCTCGGCCCAATCTCTATGACGACTCAGATGGTCTCTGGAGAGATTAACACTATAAGTTGTAGCAGGATCACTCGGGGTACATGCGACCCGTGAAGATCCGGGGTAGAAAAGGTCTTCAGCATCCCCTGCTTGCCGTAAAAGGCGACTATGCTTGTCGAAAGAGGCGACTATCGGGATCGGGTGGTCAGGCTCGCTGACTTGGTTGAAGCATGTCATCGATCCCAACTGCGTGGATCGATGCTCATGATATTAATCACTGGATTGTCTGGTTCAGACTCAATTATTTACAGACTGCCGTCGTTAGGTTTGGGGGGCTCGTGGTATAAAACCTAACGACGGACGCAAAAAACACCATGTACCCCGAGTGGTCCTGCTACAACGAATTTATCTTACCGACATGTTTTAATATGACATTGTAAAATAATTCAAATACATTCCAAATTGATAGAAAATAGCTGCTTGAATGAGCTGAGGTTAGCTTGCGATATACCATGTGACATCCATTGGCTCAGAAAAAGCATGCGGCTTTTTGCTCTGAAGCGGGACATAAAGGACTTATGCACGTGCAGAAACGTGTAGACATGCTCGTGCAGCCTGTAGTGCTCGTGGCTGGATATAAGAAATGTATTACCCCGCTGAGAAATCTATTCCCCTCCAAGGCGGGTATCACAGTATTTTATCAAGATCACGTGGACCAATCAGATCTCCTCATTCTGACATAGCGGTATCATTCGTCACCACTCGCCCCTTTCCGTAACCTGCAAGAAGACTCGTCCCCCTATCGATGAATGTTATGTGCGAAAATACGACAAACCAATCAGAATGCGTGTATGATTTCAAGTTCTTCGTCAAAGAATCCCTCAGAAATAATTTTTTATTTTACATATGTCTTGCATCTAAAAATATACCAAAGACACAGTTAAATGTGTTCAGTCATACTGTATAATTCCGCATATCCCGATGTGCTTTAAATTGCATCTGAAGTATATATAATATATGGGGAAATATATGTGAACCATTACACAACGGGTAGACAACTGTTTTAGGTATGCCCGTTTGCGCTAAGACGGAACCCGGTCGCAAAAATGGCCACGAGAGGGGCACGAGTCGCTATTCGGCTTGTCCCGGAATAACACGAGTTGGTCACGAATGATGGCGGTATGATAAATATGTTTATTTAAAATTATTACATCAAATGACAGAAGAGAAACGCACTTACATTGATATTGCTCACTCAAATTTTATTCACATTAATATTAACCACTCGTTGGCACGATTAGGGAAATTAGCATGGACAACCTGTATCAACTCAATATTAATATACCAGAAATCTTTCCTTGTTTTAACCCTTTTTTCTAAAATGGGGGTGTTCGCAAGTAATTGCCCAATCAGAAGCAGACCACAACAATCATTTCCTCAAAGCGTCGATAGTCTGAAAATATCCCCACGAACGAGCCCCCAGTCCAAAATACATTACTTCCAGACTTCCATTACTTCTAGACCTTGAACTAAACACAACTTCTTATGTTCAAGAATTGGCTTGTCTCGGGGTTGTATGTCAAAGTCATGTAAAAGAAAAGCAGTTGTGACCACAACAAAGTGTTACCTATAACCTCAAATATGACCTTGACCTTTGATAGAGAGTGTGGTGGGATTTGATTTGTTTTGTTTGTTTGTTTGTTTGTTTGTTTGTTTTTAGCGCCGCACTCAGCAATATTCCAGCTATATGACGGCGGCCTGTAAATAATCGAGTCTGGATCAGACATTCCAGTGATTGATATCATGAGCATCGATCCAGGCAGTTGGGATACGAGGACATGCATCAACCAAGTCAGCGAGCCTGACCACCCGATCCCGTTAGTCGACTCTTACGACAAGCATAGTCGCATGTTACGGCAAACATGGGTTGCTGAAGACCTTTTGTACCCCGGATCTTTACGGGTATAATGACATATGCATTAGCACTTTTGAGAAACTGTAACACTGAACATTTGGATGACATCTTTCAATCTCGTGACCTTGACTTTTGACCTCTCTACATTTGACAAACTATTTCCCCAGGTCCATGTGGAGAAAGTCCATTGTATTCCCGCCCTATTTTATCGAAGAAATATGATGCAACTATTTTGGACAATTACCTCAAACGTGACGTTTGACACGAATGCAATTGCATACCATTTAATGTGGTAGGATTTCTTGAGAAATATGAAACTATATTATAGTTCCCTGCCAACGATCAGAACTCCAGATAAGCTGAGTGCGTATTTGCGTAAAACACGTATTAAATAAAATTAAGTACGCAGACAAATAAAATCCCAGCGTATCAAATACGCAACAAAAACTATTATAAAAACGCTATAAAAATAACATTAATGGGAATATTACAA